ATAATGGAGGTCTACACAGAGGCAGGCAAGACTTTTATTAAGTATACAGATTACAAGCAGAGAGCGCATTTCAATTCGATTAAGCGGGGAATATCCTTGAGGAATAAAATAATACTTGTGGAAATTCGTTACGTCTACTCAGTTCACAGCAAAAACAGAAGGAGTGCAGAAGTAAGTGTTTTCGATGTTACTTGTCGTAAGATTTCTGCTTTTGGACTGCAGATAGCATTTTACTAAGAAAGTAATATAACGTATAAATGTATTGCGCTTATCTTACAGAACCCGAAAGCACTGCTACTACCGAGCAGTCCACGCAGGTCGAAACGAGCGGTAAGCTTCATCGCTCAATGTTTTTTTATTGTTTATCAGTAGTAGGAAACGCATCATCAAATTTTTTAAGTGTATCATATTATGGAGGCATCAAATAATATTTGTGGAAATTCGTTGCGTCTACTCAGCTCACAGCAAGAAGCATATAAATTTTTCGATGTTACTTGTCGTAGGATTTCTGCGTTGAAACCGCAGATAGCATTTTGCTAAGAAATCAGCATAGCATATTAATGAATTGTGCTTATTTTACAGAATACGGAACCACTACCGAAACATCCGAGTCCACGAACTCCGGAACCAAATGCAAGCTTAATACCTTAATGTGTCCTATTTCTTATTACAAGCAGAAAGCGCATTTCAATTCGATTAAGTGTGGCATATCCTGGACGCATAACATAATACTTGTGGAAAATCGTTGCGTCTACTTAGCTCACAGCAAGGATAAATAGGACGCAGAATGTAGTGTTTTTAATGTTACTTGTCCAACACCTTCTGCGTTCAGACCGCAGATAGCATTTTGCTAAGAATACAGCATACACAATAAATGTTTTGCGCTTATTTTACAGAACCGGGAAACACTACCGAAACCCCCGAGTCCACGGACGCCGGGACGAGCGGTTAGCCTAATCGCTCGATGTGTTACATTGTGTATCAGTAGAGGGAAGCGCATCTTCAATTCGTTTAATTGTAGCCTATTCTAGAGACATACAAGGCATTTAGCAGTTTTGAAATATATTTCACTGCGATTGCTCAATCGCCATCCATAAAACCCATAACCACCGTTTTTGTAGGACAAATTGCTGGGAAATAGGATAAGTGAGGTGCACTCCATAAACTACTCTTTTCTCATAAAAATATTTATGGAAAATGCTTGCGTCTACGCAGTTCACAGCAAGGACAAAGGGAGTAAACAAAGTACTGCTTGCCAATAGAGGAGAATATACGAGTTCCAGGCAGCAGTTCCGAAGAAG